TTTTTATTGCCCTTCTTTGTACCTTTTCCATTTCTAGTCTATCTTTTTTGAGTTGGTGACCAGAACTGCCTGCAGTATTCAAGGTGTGGGTGTACCATGGATTTATAAAGTGGCATTATGATATTTACAATCTTATTTTCTATCCCTTTCCTAATGGTTCCTAACATTCTGTTAGCTATTTTGACTGATGCTGCACATTGAGTTGATGTTTTCAGAGAACTATCCACAATGACTCCAAGATCTCTTTCTTGAGCGGTAACAGCTAATTTAGACCCCATCATTTTGTATGTATAGTTGGGATTATGTTTTCCAGTGTGCATTACTTTGCATTTATCAGCATTGAATTTCATCTGCCAGTTTGTTGCCCAGTTACCCAGTTTTGTGTGAGACCCCTTTGTAACTCTTTGCAGTCTGCCTTGGACTTAATTATCTTGAGGAATTTTGTATCATCAGCAAAATTTGCCACCTCACTGTTTACCTCTTTTTCCAGATCATTTATGGAACAAATAATAAATAATACTAAGGGATCTGAGTTCTATGTGCAGTTCCAAAGTTCTATGCCCACTGTTTCTGTGACAGGCCAAAGAACCACAGGTCTTTTCCACATGATCAAATTCTAGATCCGTAATTCACCAGCTGTGCAGCTCCAGCAGTGGTAGCAATGGCAGGAGTACTATGGAACGCAGGCCTCAAAGCAGAGTTAGACAACACAGTGGTGAAAATGTCTGTGCCCTGTACACACTTGTGCTGTCACCATTGCAGTCACCGATGGAGGCGCACCTGTGGTGAATTACAGCTATGCAGTTTCCTTGTGCAGTCATAGCCAAAGTGCACAGCAAAATGGCAACCAGGAAATCCTTGGTGGCCACAGATTTGTTACAACATTATTGGCACCACCAAATACAAGGCCTAGAAGGGAGAGGATTAGCTTGGGGGGCTGCATTTCAGGCTGCTGATGAAATCAGAGCTAGAGAGGGTGGCTTAGTGATTTAAGTGTAACCCACACTAGGAGAGTGGGGTCTTTGTCCCCCTCTGATGGATGGCACATGTGAGAGGTTAGTGGGTCAGCTACATCTGGGGAGTCAGTCCGTAGCTCACATGGTAGCAGATGATGCTTTTAGGTGCTGAAGGCCTAGGGTTCATACCCAGCTGATAGCACCTATAGGGCTGGTTACAAGAGCGATACCCAGTGTGGAGCTTGAACTTCTATAGCCCTCAAAGGCTTAAGATGAGCAGCCCCAAGCAGCAAAGTCTGTAATCCCCAGGAACAGAGAGAGGAGATCGCTGTCGTTCTCAGAGCCATCAGGTATGAAACTCCTAGATTTTCCCTCCTGAACCATTGGTTTGAATCCTAGCAAGCTAGAGTCAGCCCTTCATCTTTCTGAGGTAAATAAACGCTATGTGGGTGGGTGTGTATGTGTGTGGGGGGCTGTTTTAGATGAGACCTTCCTGTTTCCTCTCCATGGGCAGTAAACCCCTTGGCACTTTTTGCATGAGTAGACTTTTGTGTCTGTGCCCTCAGGCAGTATACCCTCTCCTTCACTGTGGTGCAGTGCACTGCACGCCAGCTGGCTACCACCCTCCCGCACCAGAGATGACTGCGGTTCGGTGGTTCTGCGGAGCTATAAAGCCTCTAGAGATGAAATGTACTATATTTTGTCCCTGGGGAGCCGTTTGGCTCTTTCTTCTGCTACTGTAATACAATTAAAAATAAATCGTAGATCTGATCATGCCCATGAGATTCAGATTAAAGTGGATCACATGGGGCTTTCTGAAGACAAGACAGAGATCTCCAAGGTGGCCCTGACATAGAGAAGCTGGTGACTAGGGGGCAATGTCATGGCAGACTCTGAAGCAGCACCCCCCACAGACACCAAGCGACGGCTGCCTCCCACCCCCAGACTAGTCGCCTGTATGTTTCTCTCTTCCAGGCTACGATAGATGTTGGGGGGGCATGTCCGGATGGAAACAGCTAATGAGTTTATTTCCGTCTTGCTCCTGATTTGGGTAGCTCCAGGTTTTGTGATTCTATGGCTTCCCTTTGCCAGTCAGGGGAGTGCTGATTCAGACTGCCACACCACCTCTCTGGGCCTATCTTGGCCAGCCTCTCAGTGGGTGATGCAGTCAGTTAGCACTCTGGCAATCCACT